TCTCTGGCTCCCCGTCCTTTATACACATAGCGGACGTGGTTGTAGCCACCATGGTGTGACTGTGTGTTACATTCCCGCAACACCCCTACATCTGTAATGGCAGAGATTAGGGATTAATAAAGTACAACCATAACCACAATCATATAAACAGAAATTTATTTTATTGCAATATATTGGGGGGGGGGGGGAATGTTGGGGTGGGGGGGGAATTGCCCCCCCCCCCCCCAATATTTATTATAATTACGGCCTTGATCATGTAGCAAGGGGTCTGGAGCGAGGCTGACATTTAAAAGTACGGAAGGCGAGGGCCAGTCGCTCCCCCAGGGTTCTCGCTGCTGCATGTGTAGGGACCCACGTCCAGAGCGATGCCTTCACGTCGCTTCACAGCCAGGACTGCGTCAGCGGTTGGGCAATTCCACATTCCTAGAGACGAGGACCAGGGTCCTGGACGTGCTGCGACCGCCGGTCGACTTTCCCGCAAAGTGCGGCTGAGTTGCGTTAGTTTGGTGGGCTGATTAAAGCCCCAGACACCAGCACATAGACCCACACACTGGGGCGAGGTGTTAGTGGCAGGGAGAGTGTTAGTGGTGGAGAGAGTGTTAGTGGTGGGGAGAGTGTTAGTGGTGGGGAGAGTGTTAGTGGTGGGGAGAGTGTTAGTGGCGGGGAGAGTGTTAGTGGTGGGGAGAGTGTTAGTGGTGGGGAGAGTGTTAGTGGTGGGGAGAGTGTTAGTGGCAGGGAGAGTGTTAGTGGTGGAGAGAGTGTTAGTGGTGGGGAGAGTGTTAGTGGTGGGGAGAGTGTTAGTGGTGGGGAGAGTGTTAGTGGTGGGGAGAGTGTTAGTGGTGGGGAGAGTGTTAGTGGTGGGGAGAGTGTTAGTGCCAGGGAGAGTGTTAGTGGTGGGGAGAGTGTTAGTGGTGGGGAGAGTGTTAGTGGTGGGGAGAGTGTTAGTGGTGGGGAGAGTGTTAGTGGTGGGGAGAGTGTTAGTGGCAGGGAGAGTGTTAGTGGTGGGGAGAGTGTTAGTGGCGGGGAGAGTGTTAGTGACAGGGAGAGTGTTAGTGGTGGGGAGAGTGTTAGTGGTGGGGAGAGTGTTAGTGGTGGGGAGAGTGTTAGTGGTGGGGAGAGTGTTAGTGGTGGGGAGAGTGTCAGTGCCAGGGAGAGTGTTAGTGGTGGGGAGAGTGTTAGTGGCAGGGAGAGTGTTAGTGGTGGAGAGAGTGTTAGTGGTGGGGAGAGTGTTAGTGGTGGGGAGAGTGTTAGTGGTTGGGAGAGTGATAGTGGTGGGGAGAGTGTTAGTGGTGGGGAGAGTGTTAGTGGTGGGGAGAGTGTTAGTGGTGGGGAGAGTGTTAGTGGTCGGGAGAGTGTTAGTGGTGGGGAGAGTGTTAGTGGTGGGGAGAGTGTTAGTGGTGGGGAGAGTGTTAGTGGTCGGGAGAGTGTTAGTGGTGGGGAGAGTGTTAGTGGTGGGGAGAGTGTTAGTGGTGGGGAGAGTGTTAGTGGTGGGGAGAGTGTTAGTGGTGGGGAGAGTGTTAGTGGTGGGGAGAGTGTTAGTGCCAGGGAGAGTGTTAGTGGTGGAGAGAGTGTTAGTGGTGGGGAGAGTGTTAGTGGTGGGGAGAGTGTTAGTGGTGGGGAGAGTGTTAGTGGTGGGGAGAGTGTTAGTGGTGGGGAGAGTGTTAGTGGTGGAGAGAGTGTTAGTGGTGGGGAGAGTGTTAGTGGTGGGGAGAGTGTTAGTGCCAGGGAGAGTGTTAGTGGTGGAGAGAGTGTTAGTGGTGGGGAGAGTGTTAGTGGTGGGGAGAGTGTTAGTGGTGGAGAGAGTGTTAGTGGTGGGGAGAGTGTTAGTGGTGGGGAGAGTGTTAGTGCCAGGGAGAGTGTTAGTGGTGGGGAGAGTGTTAGTGGTGGGGAGAGTGTTAGTGGTGGGGAGAGTGTTAGTGGTGGGGAGAGTGTTAGTGGTGGGGAGAGTGTTAGTGGTGGGGAGAGTGTTAGTGGTGGGGAGAGTGTTAGTGCCAAGGAGAGTGTTAGTGGTGGAGAGAGTGTTAGTGGTGGGGAGAGTGTTAGTGGTGGGGAGAGTGTTAGTGGTGGGGAGAGTGTTAGTGGTGGAGAGAGTGTTAGTGGTGGGGAGAGTGTTAGTGGTGGAGAGAGTGTTAGTGGTGGGGAGAGTGTTAGTGGTGGGGAGAGTGTTAGTGGTGGGGAGAGTGTTAGTGGTGGAGAGAGTGTTAGTGGTGGGGAGAGTGTTAGTGGTTGGGAGAGTGTTAATGGTGGGGAGAGTGTTAGTGGTGGGGAGAGTGTTAGTGGTGGGGAGAGTGTTAGTGGTGGGGAGAGTGTTAGTGGTGGAGAGAGTGTTAGTGCCAGGGAGAGTGTTAGTGGTGGGGAGAGTGTTAGTGGTGGGGAGAGTGTTAGTGGTGGGGAGAGTGTTAGTGGTGGGGAGAGTGTTAGTGGTGGGGAGAGTGTTAGTGGTGGGGAGAGTGTTAGTGAGAGTGTTAGTAAGAGTGAGAGTGTTAGTGAGAGTGTTTGTGAGAGTGTTAGTGAGAGTGTTAGTGAGAGTGAGAGTGTTAGTGAGAGTGTTAGTGAGAGTGTGAGAGAGTGTTAGTGAGAGTGTTAGTGAGAGTGTTAGTGAGAGTGAGAGTGTTAGTGAGAGTGTTAGTGAGAGTGTTAGTGAGAGTGTTTGTGAGAGTGTTAGTGAGAGTGAGAGTGTTAGTGAGAGTGTTAGTGAGAGTGAGAGTGTTAGTGAGAGTGTTAGTGAGAGTGAGAGTGTTAGTGAGAGTGTTAGTGTTAGTGAGAGTGTTAGTGTTAGTGAGAGTGTTAGTGAGAGTGTTAGTGAGAGAGTGTTAGTGAGAGTGTTATTGTTAGTGAGAGTGTTAGTGTTAATGATAGTGAGAGTGTTAGTGTTAGTGAGAGTGTTAGTGAGAGTGTTAGTGAGAGTGTTAGTGAGAGAGTGTCAGTGAGAGTGTTAGTGAGAGTGAGAGTGTTAGTGAGAGTGTTAGTGAGAATGTTAGTGAGAGTGTTAGTGATAGTGAGAGTGTTAGTGAGAGTGTTAGTGAGAGTGTTAGTGTTAGTGAGAGTGTTAGTGAGAGTGTTGGTGAGAGTGTTAGTGAGAGTGTTAGTGAGAGTGTTTGTGAGAGTAAGAGTGAGAGTGTCAGTGAGAGTGTTAGTGAGAGTGTTAGTGAGAGTGTTAGTGAGAGTGTTAGTTAGAGTGTTTGTGAGAGTGTTAGTGAGAGTGTTAGTGAGAGTGTTAGTAAGAGTGTTTGTGAGAGTGTTAGTGAGAGTGTTACTGAGAGTGTTAGTGTTAGTGAGAGTGTTAGTGAGAGTGTTAGTGAGAGTGTTAGTGAGAGTGTTAGTGAGAGTGTTAGTGAGAGTGTTTGTGAGAGTGTTAGTGAGAGTGTTAGTGAGAGTGTTAGTGATAGTGAGAGTGTTAGTGAGAGTGTTAGTGATAGTGTTAGTGAGAGTGTTAGTGAGAGTGTTAGTGAGAGTGTTAATGAGAGTGTTAGTGAGAGTGTTAATGAGAGTGTTAGTGTTAGTGAGAGTGTTAGTGAGAATGTTAGTGAGAGTGTTAGTGAGAGTGATAGTGGGAGTGTTAGTGAGAGTGTTAGTGAGAGTGTTAGTGAGAGTGTTAGAGTGTTAGTGAGAGTGTTAGTGAGAGTGTTAGAGTGTTAGTGAGAGTGTTAGTGAGAGTGTTAGTGTTAGTGAGAGTGTTAGTGAGAGTGTTAGTGAGAGTGTTTGTGAGAGTAAGAGTGTTAGTGAGAGTGTTAGTGGGAGTGTTAGTGAGAGTGTTAGTGAGAGTGTTAGTGAGAGTGTTAGTGAGAGTGTTAGAGTGTTAGTGAGAGTGTTAGTGAGAGTGTTAGTGTTAGTGAGAGTGTTAGTGAGAGTGTTAGTGAGAGTGAGAGTGTTAGTGTTAGTGAGAGTGTTAGTGAGAGTGTTAGTGTTAGTGAGAGTGTTAGTGAGAGTGTTAGTGAGAGTGTTAGTGAGAGTGTTAGTGAGAGTGTTAGTGAGAGTGTTAGTGAGAGTGTTAGTGAGAGTGTTAATGAGAGTGTTAGTGAGAGTGTTAGTGAGAGTGTTAGTGAGAGTATTAGTGAGAGTGTTAGTGAGAGTGTTAGTGTTAGTGAAAGTGTTAGTGAGAGTGTTAGTGAGAGTGAGAGTGTTTGTGAGAGTGTTAGTGAGAGTGTTAGTGAGAGTGAGAGTGTTTGTGAGAGTGTTAGTGAGAGTGTTAGTGAGAGTGTTAGTGAGAGTGTTAGTGAGAGTGAGAGTGTTAGTGAGAGTGTTAGTGAGAGTGTTAGAGGCACCGAAGATTGAATTTTGGTTTCCGCTGCAGGAGCCAACCACGCCACGTCATCACGCACAGACAAAGATCCCCCGCATAATCTCAGCCCCTGGGGGCAAGTGCTGTTACTGCACAAGGACAACGGTGGGTAGGCATCACCACGCCCGGCCGCCTTTGTCTCCCCAGTGGCGATGTTTATAACTCCGTACCAGGTGCTCATTTGAGGCCGAGTCGATCTAGGGGAGGGCCCAGGACCGCTCCAAATATTCGTCACCGGTGTTGGTGGCCGTTAACGAGAATCGAACTCGCGGGGCCGGGGTTCGCAGCGCAACGCGCTAACCACTGCGCCACCGCTCCCCCTAACGCCCCCACCACTCTCCCCCCCCCCCACCACTCTCTCCCCCCCACCACTCCCCCCCCCCCACCACTCTCCCCCCCCCCCACCTCGCCCTTTCTCTGATGCGGCCCACATCGCGTGTTGCCAGCAGTGCGTAGGGGCGGGTGGTGGTGGTGGTGGTGGTAGTGGTGCACGCATCGCTCACAACAATGGTGATGGGTGGTGGTGGTGGTGACAAGAACGTGAACTCGCGATGCGGGTGACCACGGTGGTGACCACGGTGGTGACCACGGTGGTGACGAGGTCGCTTCACGCGCTGTGTGCTGTGAGCTCAGCACGAGGAGCCGGGCGGCAGCTCCACGCCGCCTTCTCACCCCATAGAGAGGAGCTCGCCTCGGGGCTCCACGGGGACCCCCCCCCCCCCCCCCACCCAGGGACCCGAGGCCTCCCCCGGCTGCCCCCCCCCCCACCCATTACCTCGGTACCACCACAGCCCCCGCGGGGGGCCTCGGAGTAGCCGGCCTCGAGCCCCCACGACTTTGAGGGGTTCCGTCATGGGACTCCCGCACGTGGCGCTGCTGCCTCTCCCACTCCTCCTACTCACCGCGCCGGGACTACTCGTGGTGAGGACATTACACATTCTCATGGCGAGGCCACGTCTCGCCATGATCGCCTCTTGGGGGGTGGGGGGGGGACTGCTGGATGTGGCTGATGCCGGTAGCGACAGAGGTGGATCGGCAACTTTGCGGCTACGGAGTGGCACGTGACTCCGTGGCTGCCCCCACGTGACTCCGTAGCTGCCCCCACGTGACTCTTTGGCTGCCCCCTCGTGACTCTTTGGCTGCCCCCACGTGACTCGTTGGCTGCCCCCTCGTGACTCTTTGGCTGCCCCCTCGTGACTCTTTGGCTGCCCCCTCGTGACTCTTTGGCTGCCCCCTGGTGACTCTTTGGCTGCCCCCACGTGACTCTTTGGCTGCAACCACGTGACTCTTTGGCTGCCCCCTCGTGGCTCTTTGGCTGCCCCCACGTGACTCTTTGGCTGCCCCCTCGTGACTCTTTGGCTGCCCCCACGTGACTCGTTGGCTGCCCCCTCGTGACTCTTTGGCTGCCCCCTCGTGACTCTTTGGCTGCCCCCTCGTGACTCTTTGGCTGCCCCCACGTGACTCTTTGGCTGCCCCCACGTGACTCTTTGGCTGCCCCCTCGTGACTCTTTGGCTGCCCCTCGTGTTTAAACAATAAAAAAGAAACCTCCGTAAAACTTGAATGTATTTTAACGTGAAGATAATTTACAAAATATGGGCAGGGAAATGGGGTCACTGTGGAATGTCTTGCTGACGACAAAAATGCACAACAGTCAAACTGTGTAGTCAGAGTGAATCTATCCTAGGGAGAGTGAATCTATAGTAGTCAGAGTGAATCTATAGTAGAGTGAATCTATAGTAGTCAGAGTGAATCTATAGTAGAGTGAATCTATAGTAGTCAGAGTGAATCTATAGTAGAGTTAATTTATAGTAGTCAGAGTGAATCTATAGTAGTCAGAGTGAATCTATCGTAGTCAGAGTGAATCTATAGTAGAGTGAATCTATAGTGGAGTGAATCTATAGTATTCAGAGTGAATCTATAGTAGTCAGAGTGAATCTATAGTAGTCAGAGTGAATCTATAGTAGAGTGAATCTATAGTCAGAGTGAATCTATAGTAGTCAGAGTGAATCTATAGTAGTCAGAGTGAATCTATAGTAGGCAGAGTGAATCAATAGTATTCAGAGTGGATCTATCGTAGTCAGAGTGAATCTATGTTAGTCAGAGTGAATCTATAGTAGAGTGAATCTATAGTAGTCAGAGTGAATCTATAGTAGAGTGAATCTATAGTCGTCAGAGTGAATCTATAGTAGAGTTAATTTATAGTAGTCAGAGTGAATCTATAGTAGTCAGAGTGAATCTATCGTAGTCAGAGTGAATCTATAGTAGAGTGAATCTATAGTGGAGTGAATCTATAGTATTCAGAGTGAATCTATAGTAGTCAGAGTGAATCTATAGTAGTCAGAGTGAATCTATAGTAGAGTGAATCTATAGTCAGAGTGAATCTATAGTAGTCAGAGTGAATCTATAGTAGTCAGAGTGAATCTATAGTAGGCAGAGTGAATCAATAGTATTCAGAGTGGATCTATCGTAGTCAGAGTGAATCTATGTTAGTCAGAGTGAATCTATAGTAGAGTGAATCTATAGTAGTCAGAGTGAATCTATAGTAGAGTGAATCTATAGTCGTCAGAGTGAATCTATCATAGTCAGAGTGAATCTATAGTAGGCAGAGTGAATCTATAGTAGGCAGAGTGAATCTATAATATTCAGAGTGGATCTATCGTAGTCAGAGTGAATCTATATTAGTCAGAGTGAATCTATAGTAGAGTGAATCTATAGTAGTCAGAGTGAATCTATAGTAGAGTGAATCTATAGTCGTCAAAGTGAATTTATCATAGTCAGAGTGAATCTATAGTAGGCAGAGTGAATCTATAGTAGTCAGAGTGAATCTATCGTAGTCAGAGTGAATCTATAGTAGTCAAAGTGAATCTATCCTAGGGAGAGTGAATCTATAGTAGTCAGAGTGAATCTATAGTAGACAGAGTGAATATATAGTAGAGTGAATCTATAGTAGAGTGAATCTATAGTAGTCAGAGTGGATCTATCGTAGTCAGAGTGAATATATAGTAGGCAGAGTGAATCTATAGTAGTCAGAGTGAATCTATAGCAGAATCTATAGTAGTCAGAGTGAATCTATAGTAGTCATTGTACATCTATAGTAGTCAGAGTGAATCTATAGTAGTTAATCTATAGTCGAGTAAATCTATAGTCATCAGAGTGGATCTATCGTAGTCAGAGTGAATCTATAGCAGAGTGAATCTATAGCAGAGTGAATCTATAGTAGTCAGAGTGAATCTATAGTAGTCAGAGTGAATCTATAGTAGAGTGAATCTATAGTAGAGTGAATCTATCGTAGTCAGAGTGAATCTATAGTAGTCAGAATGAATCTATAGTCGTCAGAGTGAATCTATAGTAGTCAGAGTGAATCTATAGTAGTCAAAGTGAATCTATTCTAGGGAGAGTGAATCTATAGTTGTCAGAGTGAATGTATAGTAGAGTGAATCTATAGTCAGAGTTAATCTATTGTAGTCAGAGTGAATCTATAGTAGACAGAGTGAATCTATCGTAGTCAGAGTGAATCTATAGTAGTCAGAGTGAAACTATAGTAGTCAGAGTGAATCTATCGTAGTCAGAGTGAATCTATAGTAGTCAGAGTGAATCTATCGTAGTCAGAGTGAATCTATAGTAGAGTGAATCTATATTAGAGTGAATCTATAGACAGAGTGAATCTATAGTAGAGTGAATCTATAGTAGTCAGAGTGAATCTATAGCAGTCAGTGAATCTATAGTAGTCAGAGTGAATATATAGCAGTCAGTGAATCTATAGTAGTCAGAGTGAATCTATTGTAGGCAGAGTGAATCTATAATAGTCAGAGTGAATCTATAGTAGAGTGAATCTATCGTAGTCAGAGTGAATCTATAGTAGAGTGAATCTATAGTAGTCAGAGTCAATCTATAGTAGTCAGAGTAAATCTATCGTAGTCAGAGTGAATCTATAGTAGAGTGAATCTATCGTAGTCAGAGTGAATCTATAGTAGAGTGAATCTATAGTAGTCAGAGTGAATCTATAGTAGTCAGAGTGAATCTATAGTAGTCAGAGTGAAACTATAGCAGAGTTAATCTATAGTAGTCAGAGTGAATCTACAGTAGACAGAGTGAATCTATAGTAGTCAGAGTGAAACTATAGTAGTCAGAGTGAATCTTTCGTAGTCAGAGTGAATCTATAGTCAGAGTGAATCTATAGTAGTCAGAGTGAATCTATAGTAGACAGAGTGAATCTATAGAAGAGTTAATCTATAGTAGAGTGAATCTATAGTAGTCAGAGTGGATCTATCGTAGTTAGAGTGAATCTATAGTAGGCAGAGTGAATCTATTGTAGTCAGAGTGAATCTATAGCAGAGTGAATCTATAGTAGTCAGAGTTAATCTATAGTAGTCAGAGTGAATCTATAGCAGAGTGAATCTATAGTAGTCAGAGTGAATCTATAGTAGTCAGAGTTAATCTATAGTAGAGTAAATCTATCGTAGTCAGAGTGAATCTATCGTAGTCAGAGTGAATCTATAGTAGTCAGAGTGAATCTATAGTAGTCAGCGTGAATCTATAGTCAGAGTTAATCTATAGTCAGAGTGAATCTATCTTAGTCAGAGTGAATCTATAGTAATCAGAGTGAATCTATAGGAATCAGAGTGAATCTATAGTAGTCAGAGTGAATCTATAGAAGAGTGAATCTATCGTAGACTGAATCTACAGTAGAGTGAATCTATAGTAGTCAGAGTGAATCTATAGTAGTCAGAGTGAATCTATTGTCAGAGTGAATCTATAGCAGAGTGAATCTATTGTAGTCAGAGTGAATCTATAGTAGAGTGAATCTATAGTAGAGTGAATCTATAGTAGTCAGAGTGATTCTATAGTAGAGTGAATCTATAGTAGTGTGAATCTGTAGTAGACAGAGTGAATCTATAGTAGTCAGAGTGAATCTATATTAGTCAGAGTGAATCTATAGTAGAGTGAATCTATATTAGTCAGAGTGAATCTATAGTAGAGTGAATCTATAGTCGTCAAAGTGAATTTATCATAGTCAGAGTGAATCTATAGTAGGCAGAGTGAATCTATAGTAGTCAGAGTGAATCTATCGTAGTCAGAGTGAATCTATAGTAGTCAAAGTGAATCTATCCTAGGGAGAGTGAATCTATAGTAGTCAGAGTGAATCTATAGTAGACAGAGTGAATATATAGTAGAGTGAATCTATAGTAGAGTGAATCTATAGTAGTCAGAGTGGATCTATCGTAGTCAGAGTGAATCTATAGTAGGCAGAGTGAATCTATAGTAGTCAGAGTTAATCTATAGCAGAATCTATAGTAGTCAGAGTGAATCTATAGTAGTCATTGTAAATCTATAGTAGTCAGAGTGAATCTATAGTAGAGTTAATCTATAGTAGAGTAAATCTATAGTCATCAGAGTGGATCTATCGTAGTCAGAGTGAATCTATAGCAGAGTGAATCTATAGCAGAGTGAATCTATAGTAGTCAGAGTGAATCTATAGTAGTCAGAGTGAATCTATAGTAGAGTGAATCTATAGTAGAGTGAATCTATCGTAGTCAGAGTGAATCTATAGTAGTCAGAATTAATCTATAGTCGTCAGAGTGAATCTATAGTAGTCAGAGTGAATCTATAGTAGTCAAAGTGAATCTATTCTAGGGAGAGTGAATCTATAGTTGTCAGAGTGAATGTATAGTAGAGTGAATCTATAGTCAGAGTGAATCTATTGTAGTCAGAGTGAATCTATAGTAGTCATAGTGAATCTATAGTAGACAGAGTGAATCTATCGTAGTCAGAGTGAATCTATAGTAGTCAGAGTGAAACTATAGTAGTCAGAGTGAATATATCGTAGTCAGAGTGAATCTATAGTAGTCAGAGTGAATCTATCGTAGTCAGAGTGAATCTATAGTAGAGTGAATCTATATTAGAGTGAATCTATAGACAGAGTGAATCTATAGTAGAGTGAATCTATAGTAGTCAGAGTGAATCTATAGCAGTCAGTGAATCTATAGTAGTCAGAGTGAATCTATAGCAGTCAGTGAATCTATAGTAGTCAGAGTGAATCTATTGTAGGCAGAGTGAATCTATAATAGTCAGAGTGAATCTATAGTAGAGTGAATCTATCGTAGTCAGAGTGAATCTATAGTAGAGTGAATCTATAGTAGTCAGAGTGAATCTATAGTAGTCAGAGTAAATCTATCATAGTCAGAGTGAATCTATAGTAGGCAGAGTGAATCTATAGCAGAGTTAATCTATAGTAGTCAGAGTGAATCTACAGTAGACAGAGTGAATCTATAGTAGTCAGAGTGAAACTATAGTAGTCAGAGTGAATCTTTCGTAGTCAGAGTGAATCTATAGTCAGAGTGAATCTATAGTGGTCAGAGTGAATCTATAGTAGACAGAGTGAATCTATAGTAGAGTTAATCTATAGTAGAGTGAATCTATAGTAGTCAGAGTGGATCTATCGTAGTTAGAGTGAATCTATAGTAGGCAGAGTAAATCTATTGTAGTCAGAGTGAATCTATAGCAGAGTGAATCTATAGTAGTCAGAGTTAATCTATAGTAGTCAGAGTGAATCTATAGCAGAGTGAATCTATAGTAGTCAGAGTGAATCTATAGTAGTCAGAGTTAATCTATAGTAGAGTGAATCTATCGTAGTCAGAGTGAATCTATCGTAGTCAGAGTGAATCTATAGTAGTCAGCGTGAATCTATAGTCAGAGTTAATCTATAGTCAGAGTGAATCTATCTTAGTCAGAGTGAATCTATAGTAATCAGAGTGAATCTATAGGAGTCAGAGTGAATCTATAGTAGTCAGAGTGAATCTATAGAAGAGTGAATCTATCGTAGAGTGAATCTATAGTAGAGTGAATCTATAGTAGTCAGAGTGAATCTATAGTAGTCAGAGTGAATCTATTGTCAGAGTGAATCTATAGCAGAGTGAATCTATTGTAGTCAGAGTAAATCTATAGTAGAGTGAATCTATAGTAGAGTGAATCTATAGTAGTCAGAGTGATTCTATAGTAGAGTGAATCTATAGTAGTGTGAATCTGTAGTAGACAGAGTGAATCTATAGTAGGCAGAGTGAATCTATAGGAGTCAGAGTGAATCTATCGTAGAGTGAATCTATGGTAGAGTGAATCTATAGTCAGAGTGAATCTATAGTAGAGTGAATCTATGGTAGACAGATTGAATCTATAGTAGAGTGAATCTATAGTCAGAGTGAATCTATAGTAGGCAGAGTGAATCTATAGGAGTCAGAGTGAATCTATCGTAGAGTGAATCTATGGTAGACTGAATCTATAGTCAGAGTGAATCTATAGTAGAGTGAATCTATGGTAGACAGATTGAATCTATAGTAGAGTGAATCTATAGTCAGAGTGAATCTATAGTAGTCAGAGTGAATCTATAGTAGAGTGAATCTATAGTAGTCAGAGTGAATCTATAGTAGAGTGAATCTATAGTAGTCAGAGTGAATCTATAGTAGAGTGAATCTATAGTAGTCAGAGTGAATCTATAGTAGAGTGAATCTATAGTAGTCAGAGTGGATCTATAGTAGAATTAATCTATAGTAGTCAGAGTGAATCTATAGTAGTCAGAGTGAATCTATAGTCAGAGTGAATCTATAGTCAGAGTGAATCTATAGTAGAGTGAATCTATAGTAGTCAGAGTGAATCTATAGTAGAGTGAATCTATAGTCAGAGTTAATCCATAGTAGTCAGAGTGAATCTATAGTAGAGTGAATCTATAGTAGAGTGAATCTATAGTAGTCAGAGTGAATCTATAGTAGAGTGAATCTATAGTAGTCAGAGTGAATCTATAGTAGTCAGAGTGAATCTATAGTAGAGTGAATCTATAGCAGAGTGAATCTATAGTAGACGGAGTGGAGGTGGAGAGAGCCGTCCCCCAGTGCCGTGCAGTGCGAGTCGCGAGCGGAGCGCGAGGATTTTCAGTGTCCCTACTCCCTGTCACTCTGCGGTGTTCTACCCCTGCAGCTCCTGGGGGGTGGTACACGGAACCCTGGGGGGTACGTGGATCCCTGGGAGGTGAAAGGGCTTCACTGAGCTATGCAGCTTCTTATCAGAAGCGACCTGGGCCACAAATGATATCACCACGAAGTGGCTTGTCGCGTGTAGCGGGCAGCCACGCACTCTGCACGCGCGCGATGTTGTTGATTCTAAATGTGGAGGGGGAAACCGGAGGTGGAGAGAGACACGGCGAAAACTCCAAATATACAGCAGCAGCAGGCGTCAGGGTCGTGATCGAAACCACGACCTCCTGTACACCAGGCGAGGTAGTTAACATCTCATAGCCACCGTGATGATGATGATGATGAGAGACACCGCAAACTCCAAATATACAGCAGCAGCAGCAGGCGTCAGGGTCGCGATCGAAGCCACGACCTCCTGTACACCAGGCGAGGTAGTTAACATCTCATAGCCACCGTGATGACGATGAGAGAGACACCGCAAACTCTAAATATACAGCAGCAGCAGCAGGCGTCAGGGTCGCGATCGAAGCCACGACCTCCTTGCACACCGGTTCACCCAGAAAGGCGTCACCGACTCTCAAGGCTCCTTTTCAGGATGGTCCCCTGCCTGCTGTTTTGGCCACTGCAGCTGCTGCTGCTGCTGTGATCCCAGCTGAGTGATTCACAGGCGCGGTTCGTCCACTAGGGGCGTTGGGGTGCCGCCCCACCAAGCAGCTGGAGATGATAAATTATATTTTTCTAATGAAAGAAAAAACTTTTCTAGAAATAGTTTTGTCGTGATAGAATTTTTGTTAAATATTATTATTCTTTCTGGTCTCGCGGTGGCCGTGAAGGCGCCCTCCGCGTGAGAATTTGCACCTTCATTCATTGCGATCAGCTTCGCATTTTAGCCACGCCGTTTGAGACCCATTCCGGAGCGGTGACGATGTCACAACGCCAGGTCGCGCTGTGCAACTGTAGCAGCTCAAGGCATACACAAATCTGGCTGTCGCCTGATGAAGCTGGTTGTAATTGCCGGTCGAAACGTCGTACTCAGAATTGTAAATGTTGTGGCTTGGCTCTCAAACACACAACGGGTGTGCTGTACTAGTGACGAATTGGCCACGTTCTGTTTACGTGACAAGTCTTAGTAGTTGGCTGTGTCGGGTGGTGGCGGTATTTACGACACATTTATATATTTTCGCGATCTAACCGAAGAAATCCCCCCCCCCCCTCCTCCTCTACTCTGGATGATATTGGCCGCGAACAGCGTACGTGTTAAATTGGCCTCCACGCTCTAGGACGAAACAGGAATAGCGATGGCAGCAGGTAAAGCAAATGAAGAATTAGAAACGAACACTGTGGAGCCACTCCTCAGTGTTCCATTTTAAATTGAAAGGATGACTATGAAGGAGAAGCTGAATGTTCAGCAACTGGGTCCTGATTAACCGAAAATCGACCAGCCCTCGGGAGACCCGGGGAAAAGCATACGAAAGGACACTTATATTCTTGGTTCTTTCGGTAAAGTCACGTAGAAGGGAAACAATAAAATAATACAAATATATTGTTTTATATTTAAATATTTTTTTATTTTATTGTTTCCCTTCCACGTGGTGACTTTACCGAAAGAAGCAAGAATATGAATCCCTGCAGTCACGAAAGCTTTAGATCAGAAAGGACACTTGTTAAGTATTAAAGAAAGGTCCCATATTGTAGCTGCTCACCACGAGCTATGAATGCCCTGATGGTGGCATTGTCTTTGTGCTGTGTGACGCCTTTTGGCGTCCTCTGGTCTAACACCGTTTTGAGACGAGGCTCAAAAGAAAGCCGTCTCTGGTACGTGGACCAATCAGTTTCAAAGACAATGCATCGTATATTGTCAGAGCGTGTTTTTTGTTTGTTTGCATGTTCACCGCAAGCACCGTCGTGTGTGTGGTTAATGCAGACACGATTCCTTGAAGAAGTATTCTGTTTGCAGCTCTATTGCCAGAAACGGTAAAACTTATTGCTATACTTGTTTCGTATTGTTTATAAATGCCCATCGTTCTCGGCAGGATCGACAGTTCTTCCACGGGAAAGCCAATAGCATGACGAGGTTTTTTTTTTCTTAATTAGAACGCCCTCTCGTCAGAGGTCACTCGCAACAGCCCCACTTCGTGGGCAAGTCACGAGCCGCCACCAGTGACTGGCAGGGAGATTTCACGTCAGTAGTGGGGGGGGGGGGGTCGTGAATCGAACCCAGGCCCTTTGTGGCTGCGAGGCGCCTGTGGCCCCACCTGCACTGCGTCTGGAACTGGACCACGACTCGAATTCATGGGCGGCTCTAATCGAGAACGCGCAGCGCGACTCGATGGGCGCGTGGGTGACTCTGAGCTCCCTGCCTGCACCGTTTTCTGTGCGCGAGCGAGCAGCTGGGGGGCAGGGCTCCCCGCTACGCCCTCAACCCCCTGGGCAAGAAGTGGGAGCGAGACAACCTCACCTACAGGTGAGGCGACACGGGGGGAGGGGGATGACACGGGGGGGGGGGTGGGGGATGGCACGGGGGGGGGGACACACGGGGAGGACACACGGGTAAGAGACACGGGTGAGAGAGAGAGACACAGGGTGAGAGACACGGGGTGAGAGAGACACGGGTGAGAGAGACACGGGTGAGAGAGAGACACGGATGAGAGAGAGACATGGGTGAGAGAGACACAGGTGAGAGAGACACGGGTGAGAGAGAGAGAGACACTGGTGAGAGAGAGAGACACTGGTGAGAGAGAGACACGGGTGAGAGAGAGACACGGGTGAGAGAGACACGGGTGAGAGAGACACGGGTGAGAGAGAGAGACACTGGTGAGAGCGAGACACGGGTGAGAGAGACACGGGTGAGAGAGAGAGAGAGACACTGGTGAGAGAGACACGGGTGAGAGAGAGACACGGGTGAGAGAGAGACACGGGTGAGAGAGAGACACGGGTGAGAGAGAGATACGGGGTGAGAGAGACACGGGTGAAAGAGAGAGACACGGGTGAGAGAGAGAGACACGGGTGAGAGAGAGAGACATGGGTGAGACACGGGTGAGAGAGACACGGGTGAGAGAGAGAGACACGGGTGAGAGAGACACGGGTGAGAGAGAGAGACACGGGGGAGAGAGAGAGACACGGGGGAGAGAGAGAGACACGGGGGAGGGAGAGAGACACGGGTGAGAGAGAGACACGGGTGAGAGAGAGAGACACGGGGGAGAGAGAGAGACACGGGTGAGAGAGACACGGGTGAGAGAGAGAGACACGGGAGAGAGAGACACGGGTGAGAGAGACAAGGGTGAGAGAGACATGGGTGAGAGAGACACGGGAGAGAGAGACACGGGTGAGAGAGACACGGAAGAGAGAGACATGGGAAAAACACGGGAAAGAGAGACACGGGAGAGAGACACGGGTGAGAGAGACACGGGTGAGAGACAGAGACACGGGTGAGAGAGACACGGGTGAGAGAGACACGGGAGAGAGAGACACGGGTGAGAGAGACACGGGTGAGAGAGAGAGAGAGACACGGGTGAGAGAGAGACACGGGGTGAGAGAGACACGGGTGAGAGAGAGAGACACGGGTGAGAGAGAGACACTGGTGAGAGAGAGAGACACTGGTGAGAGACACGGGTGAGAGAGAGACACGGGTGAGAGAGACACGGGTGAGAGAGACACGGGTGAGAGAGAGAGAGACACTGGTGAGAGAGAGACACGGGTGAGGGAGACACGGGTGAGAGAGAGATACGGGTGAGAGAGAGACACTGGTGAGAGAGAGACACTGGTGAGAGACACGGGTGAGAGAGAGACACGGGTGAGAGAGACACGGGTGAGAGAGACACGGGTGAGAGAGAGGGACACTGGTGAGAGAGAGACACGGGTGAGGGAGACACGGGTGAGAGAGAGATACGGGTGAGAGAGACACGGGTGTGAGAGAAACACGGGTGAGAGAGAGAGACACACGGGTGAGAGAGACACGGGTGAGAGAGAGAGACACTGGTCAGAGAGAGACACGGGTGAGAGAGACACGGGTGAGAGAGAGACACGGGTGAGAGAGACACGGGTGAGAGAGAGAGACACTGGTCAGAGAGAGACACGGGTGAGAGAGACACGGGTGAGAGAGAGACACGGGAGAGAGAGACACTGGTGAGAGAGAGACACGGGTGAGAGAGAGAGACACGGGTGAGAGAGACACGGGTGAGAGAGAGAGACACGGTTGAGAGAGAGAGACACTGGTGAGAGGGACACGGGTGAGAGAGACACGGGTGAGAGAGAGACACGGGTGAGAGAGATACGGGTGAGAAAGAGACATGGGTGAGAGAGAGACACGGGTGAGAGAGACACGGGAGAGAGAGAGACACGGGTGAGAGAGACACGGGGTGACAGAGACACTGGTGAGAGAGACACGGGTGAGAGAGATACGGGGTGACAGAGACACTGGTGAGAGAGACACGGGTGAGAGAGAGACACGGGTGAGAGAGAGACACGGGTGAGAGAGACACGGGTGAGAGAGACACGGGTGAGAGAGAGACACGGGTGAGACACGGGTGAGACACGGTTGAGAGAGAGACACGGGTGAGAGAGAGACACGGGAGAGAGAGACACGGGAGAGAGAGAGAGAGAGACACGGGAGAGAGAGACACCGGAGAGAGAGAGACACGGGAAAGAGAGACACGGGAGCGCGCGTCCCCTCCTGCAGGATCGACCGCTTCCCGTCGTCGCTGGGCCGCGAGGAGACGCGTGTCGCCATCGCGCGCGCCTTCTCCATGTGGGGCCACGTGTCGCCCCTGTCCTTCAACGAGGTGCCCCCCACCAGCCCCGCCGACTTCCGGATAGGTGCGGATACGAAAGGGGGGGCGGGCGGGATACGGGAGGGGAGGGGGTACGGGGTGGGTGTGGATAAGGGGGGCGGATGGATGTGTGGATACGAGCAGACGCTCGTGTGCCAAAAGTGATTGCAGTCTCAGCGACTTACGCCGCTCAAATGAGCACCGAGGCTCCTGTTCGCAAGCCCTTGAAGAGCCATCGGTGGAAATTCCACATTCCCATGGCGAGGAGCTAGTCTTTAATCGGACTTCAAGCGTGCGCTTGTTCTATCGACCCCAGAGGGAGGGATGATGGGCCGAACCAACCCACCCCACCCCCCTCCCCCAGTATTTGAACTTCTCAACGTGTCACGGAGACCACCGATGCAGTCACTGCCGTGACCCCGTGTGACCCCGACCCCCCCACCCCCTCCAGGGTTCTACACGCGCGTTCACGAGGGGTGCGCCCACGCCCCCGCGCTGCTCCACCCGTGCTTCGACGGGCGCGACGGGGAGCTGGCGCACGCCTTCCTACCCCCACGCGGGGACGTTCACCTGGACGATGACGAGAGCTGGGTGCTGGGCACCACACGCTTCAGCTGGAGCCGCGGTGGGGGGAGGGGGGGGGTTGGGTGGGTGGGTTTGGGTGGGTGGGATTGGGTGGGTGTGGGTGGGTGGGTTTGTGTGGGTGGGTTTGGGTTGATGGGTTTGGGTGGGTGGGTTTGTGTGGGTGGGTTTGGGTGGGTGGGTTTGGGTTGATGGGTTTGGCTGGGTGTGGGTGGGTGGGTTTGGGTGGGTTTGGGTGGGTGGGTTTGAGTGGGTGGGTTTGGGTGGATGGGTTTGGGTGGGTTTGGGTGGGTTTGGGTTGATGGGTTTGGGTGGGTGGGTTTGAGTGGGTGGATTTGAGTGGGTGGATTTGGGTGGGTGGGTTTGGGTGGGTGTGGGTGGGTGGGTTTGGGTGGGTGGGTTTGGGTGGGTGGATTTGGGTAGGTGGGTTTGGGTGGGTGGATTTGGATGGGTGGGTTTGGGTGGGTGGGTTTGGGTGGGTGGGTTTGGGTGGGTGGGTTTTGGTGGGTGGGTTTGGGTGGGTGGGTTTGGGTGGGTGGATTTGGGTGGGTGGGTTTGGGTGGGTAGATTTGGATGGGTGGGTTTGGGTGGGTGGGTTTGGGTGGGTGGGTTTGAGTGGGTGGGTTTGGGTGGATGGGTTTGGGATTTGGTGGAATTAGGATCTGGTGGGTTTGGGATTTGGTGGGTTTGGTATTTGGTGGGTTTGAGATTGAGTGGTTGGGCATTCGGCACAGGTCTATCAGTACCGTGGTACGAGTCAATTCCTGGCACCCCAACACGGACGCCGGTTGTCGGACCGTCTGGGTCAGGGGTCGGTAACCTGCAGCCCCGGAGCCGCGTGCGGCTCTTTAAGGGACCGATTCGTGACGTCATTCATTAAGGACCATCGTGTCTTTAATAAATAACAAACACTGCCAAGTCTCGAAATAAATGGCTCTTGTTATGTTTGTCGCCGACCGCTCGTATGGATTCTACCCTCGGGAAAGAATTGGGGAAGTGGGGGGGGTGGTGGTGGGGGCGAAGGTTGTTGTGATGTAGGGGTGTTGCTGAACGACCTGGTGTGTATTATTATTGTTGTTGTTGTGGTGGTGGTGTAGGCGTGTGGATGAACGACCTGGTGTGTATTATTATTGTTGTTGTTGTGGTGGTGGTGGTGTAGGCGTGTGGATGAACGACCTGGTGTGTATTATTGTTGTTGTTGTGGTGGTGGTGGTGTAGGCGTGTGGATGAACGTCCTGGTGTGTATTATTGTTGTTGTTGTGGTGGTGGTGGTGTAGGCGTGTGGATGAACGTCCTGGTGTGTATTATTATTGTTGTTGTTGTGGTGGTGCAGGCGTGTGGATGAACGACCTGGTGTGTATTATTATTGTTGTTGTTGTGGTGGTGGTGGTGTAGGCGTGTGGATGAACGACCTGGTGTGTATTATTATTGTTGTTGTTGTGGTGGTGGTGTAGGCGTGTGGATGAACGACCTGGTGTGTATTATTATTGTTGTTGTTGTGGTGATGGTGTAGCCGTGTGGATGAACGTCCTGGTGTGTATTATTATTGTTGTTGTTGTGGTGGTGTAGGCGTGTGGATGAACGACCTGGTGTATTATTATTATTGTTGTTGTGGTGGTGTAGGCGTGTGGATGAACGACCTGGTGTATATTATTATTGTTGTTGTTGTGGTGGTGCAGGCGTGTGGATGAACGACCTGGTGTGTATTATTGTTGTTGTTGTGGTGGTGGTGGTGGTGTAGGCGTGTGGATGAACGACCTGGTGTGTATTATTATTGTTGTTGTTGTGGTGGTGCAGGCGTGTGGATGAACGACCTGGTGTATTATTATTATTGTTGTTGTTGTGGTGGTGGTGGTGGTGTAGGCGTGTGGATGAACGACCTGGTGTGTATTATTATTATTGTTGTGGTGGTGGTGGTGTAGGCGTGTGGATGAACGACCTGGTGTGTATTATTATTATTGTTGTGGTGGTGTAGGCGTGTGAATGAACGACATGGTGTATTATTATTATTATTGTGGTGGTGGTGTAGGCGTGTGGATGAACGACCTGGTGTATTATTATTATTGTTGTTGTTGTGGTGGTGTAGGCGTGTGGATGAACGACCTGGTGTGTATTATTATTGTTGTTGTGGTGGTGGTGTAGGCGTGTGGATGAACGACCTGGTGTGTATTATTATTATTGTTGTGGTGGTGGTGTAGGCGTGTGGATGAACGACCTGGTGTGTATTATTGTTGTTGTGGTGGTGGTGGTGTAGGCGTGTGGATGAACGACCTGGTGCAGGTGGCGGCGCACGAGATCGGCCACGCGCTGGGCCTCATGCACTCGCGGCGTGCCCACGCGCTCATGCACGCCAACGCCACGGCCACGCGCACACGCAGCCTGGCGCGAGACGACGTGTGGGGCATCCAGAGGCTCTATGGTGGGACACCGCCGCCGTCGTCGCCGTCGTCACCGCAGTTGTCATCATCGCGGTCGTCGTCATCACCGTTGCCGTCGTCATCGCCATCTTCATCACCGTCGCCATCATTACCACCGTCGTCGTCACCGTCATCATCACCGTCGTCATCGTCACCGTCATCTTCATCACCGTCGCCATCATTACCACCGTCGTCACCGTCATCATCACCGTCATCATCACCGTCGTCGTCACCGTCATCATCACCGTCGTCATCGTCACCATCATCTTCATCACCGTCGCCATCATTACCACCGTCGTCATCATCACCGTCGTCGTCGTCACCGTCATCTTTATCACCGTCGCCATCATTACCACCGTCATCTTCATCACCGTCATCGCCGTTGTCAACACCCATGTTACCCTCCTCAACATCATCGTCGTCGTCCCTGGTATCAACGTCTTCGACTCCCCCAGGCACCTTGGCCGTTACGTTATCCCCCCACACCCCCGCGAACAGCACTTGCCCCAACAATCTGTTGAGGCTATACGGGGGATCTTTGTCTTTATTTTGTTTTGGCGAACGTGCAGGCTGCCGGGACAAATCCGGGACGTGCGATCGCTGGGTGCGCCGTGGTCTCTGCTCCTCGCGCCCGCGCCTCTCCATGAGCCGCTGCGCCAGCTCCTGTGACCTCTGCTACGGTGCGTGACCCCCCCCCCCCCCACCGGCTTGGGGGGGTCAGGGGGGGGTCAGGGGGGGTCAGGGGGGGTTTCCCCAGGGACTCGGGGTGGGGAATGAGCGCAGTCATTAAAATTCATAGTTCATAGTTTATTTATTTGGTATAGCCCTGTGAGCCATTCGGCTCTTGAATCGGGTGCAACCGCAACAAACAAAAAACATGAACAAGAAAACATCTTAAAGTGATTATGTGACTGTGCAAACAGAAAATCCAGGAAAAAAATATCAAAATATTCCTGAAATAGCAGCGTACACCAACGCTGTGTGCAAAAATCCCAGTGGGATGCAAGTCAAATAATAACAACAACCACAAGACAACGAAGATTAAAGCCATCAGTCTAACTCTGTACTACAATAAACAAAAACATGGCCAAAACAAAAAATAATAGGGGCGCCACGTTGGCTAGGAGATGTTAACTACCTCGCCTGGTGCGCAGGAGGTCGTGGGTTCGGTCCGACCCTGACGCCTGCTGCTGCTGTATATTTGGGGTTTGCGTCTCTCTCTCTCTCCGTGGTCGCGTGGATTTGTCTCCGGGTCCTCACGACGCGCGCCACATACAACCTTGCGTCACGACGTACGACCTTGCGTAATCACGTGCGACCTTGCGTAATCACGTACGACCTTGCGTCACGACGTAATCACGTGCGACCTTGCGTCACGACGTACGACTGTTGTGTGCAGGGCATGCGCCCCCCTCCGCGACCCCCCGCCCCCGCACGCCCCCCAAGGCCAAGGTGGTGTCGCGGGGTCGCATCGTGACCTTTCACTGCGGGAGGCGGCGCTCCCTGCCCGGGGTCACCGTGAGGTACGGAAGTGAGATTCTGGGTACGGTTCCCATCATCGGCGAGCCCCTCCGGCAGGCGAGGCTGCGTTGGCGAGATGTTAACTACCTCGCCTGGTATTCAGGAGGGCATGGGTTCGATCCCTGACCATAACGCCTGCTGTATATTTTGAGTTTGTGCGTCTCTCTCCCCGTGGCCACGGGGATTTTTCTCCGGGTCATCCGGTTTGTCCCTCCAAATTTAGAATCAACGTCACGCGTTTACAGTATTTGGCAGCGATAAATTTCCACATGATGAGCCACTTCGTTGAGCTATCATTTGTGGCCTGGTCGCTTCTAAACACACAGCTCAGCGGGCTTTACCTGGCAAAGAAGAAAAAAAACGCGCATCGTTTTTTTACATAGCCCGCATTTCCAGTCACCGCATGCCCAAGCAGATTCCGTTTGGCCCGATTGAGGGGTCTAAACGGGCGCGGCACGGGCTAGAGAAGAGACGGAGCTGATGCGGTACAGGAGGATGTGGAGCTGAGTGGACTTGCCGGTGACTGGTACCAGCGGTGTCAAGATCGGAGGCTCGCTACTGGGCAGTTGGAAGCAGTCGCCCTCCAACAGCAGCGGAAGACGGAGGAGTGAAGCTCCCAACGAGCAGAGTGCTGGGCGGCTAAAATTCAGCAAGTGGGCACAGTGGGGAGCACAGGTGGTGCATGATCCAGTCACCCTCTATGCATGTTCGTGGCGTGTTCACGGCATGTGCTCAGTATGTTCACTGTTTGTGGCGTGTTCCCGGCGCATTCATGGCGTGTTCAGTGTTCATGGTGTGTTTTTCGTGTGTTTAGTGCGTGTTCATGGCGTGTTCAGTGTTCATGGTGTGTTTTTCGTGTGTTTAGTGCGTGTTCATGGCGTGTTCAGTGTCCATGGTGTGTTTTTCGTGCGTTTAGTGCGTGTTCATGGCGTGTTCAGTGTTCATGGTGTTCTTCGTGTGTTGAGTGCGTGTTCATGGTGTGTTCGGTGTTCATGGCGTGTTCGCGTGTTCAGTGCGTGTTCATGGCGTGTTCGCGTGTTCTTCCTGTGTTGAGTGCGTGCTCATGGCGTGTTCGGTGTTCATGGCGTGTTCTTCGTGTGTTGAGTGCGTGTTCATGGTGTGTTCGGTGTTCATGGCGTGTTCGCGTGTTCAGTGCGTGTTCATGGCGTGTTCGCGTGTTCTTCCTGTGTTGAGTGCGTGCTCATGGCGTGTTCGGTGTTCATGGCGTGTTCTTCGTGTGTTGAGTGCGTGTTCATGGGGTGTTCATGGGGTGTTCCTGGCGTGTTTACTGCGTGTTCGCACCACGTGCAGCTGGTACAAGGACGGCGAGTGGCTAGAGGCCTCGGTGCCGGGGCGGCTGACGATGTCTGGACGTGAGCTGCGCCTCGTCGCCAACGAGGTGAACGAGGGGGAGTACACGTGCACGCTGGCGCGCGGGGGCAGCGAGCTGCGAGCCAACGCCTGGCGCATCGTCCTCAAGGATCCCCACGGGGACCCGCAGGGAGAAGAAGGCGGGGAGATCCCCACCACTCAAGTCTCAGGGCTACGACCCTCGGGCCGAACGCCGTGACGCACGGGGCCGAGGTCAGGGGGAGCCGCTTAGCTCGGGGCCGGAGAGGAAGGGCCGACGGTGACTCGCGGAGGCGAGGCCGCAGTCACGTGGGAGGTGAGGCCACGGCGGAGGCCAAGGTCACGGCGGAGGCCATGGTCACGGCGCGCGTTTTCTCAACTTTGGGCGCGTTCCGGCCGTGCCACGGAGACAGCCTCGGTCTGAAACGACGAGGACGAGCAGGAGGAGGAGGAGCGCAGCTTCAGCTTCAGCTGCTTCGCGTGCTGCCCCATCGCGGCTGGCACAGCCGTGTGTATTTTATAAATATAGATATTTTGTATTGTGGTAAGCACGCAAGTCCGGAACAACGAGTCGATGATTTCTGGGGGAGGGGACAGAAAAACCGAGGTGGGGGTGGGGGGGTGCTTGGTGCCCACTTCCATAGGTGGAGGGAGCTTTCATACATACACGGGGGGGGGCGGGGGGGGTAACGAGCAATCCAAGGGGCCACAGTCGCCTATTGTAATCCCAAGGTCACTCCCCACTGCTGGGTGCAGAGGGCCTCCTCCTCCTCCCACTCCTCCCGCTCCTCGCACCACAGCGTGCGGGTTTACGTGTGACCGTACTCCACCGTGCTGGCCGCAGCCAGATACGGGCAAACGTGGCGTGCGTGGTGGCCCCCAACCAACCCTCCCACCCCCCCCACCAAACCCCGCGTCGCCCCCACTTAACCAATACGCAATGCAAACAATAATAACAAATATACATTTTATATCGCAGCCTCCACGCAGAGCGCACGTTCACAACGCCGCCGCGCATGGCTCCTAGCACGCAGGCACCGGGGGACACCACAGAGGAGCGGGAGGCAGCCGGAACCGGGCCAGTGATTGCCCAAGCTCTGTGGTCCTACGCGCGAGGGATGTTTGGCCAATGAACAACTACAACAACAACCGCCACAACAACGTGGGCAGTGCAAGTCGCACATCTCTGAGCAGAGCCGTTGATTGAAAAACTATCGCGCTGCCTTTAATCGGTTTTAACACGTAGGCTTTCACGACGCTAACTTGTCCGTAATCAGGGTTTTTCTTTCCTCTTGGGGTCACATCGCGTGAATAGAAATGCGTCGTTAAGCCCGCCGCCACACGACACATTTATATTTGCGCGATCTAAAACCCCCCCAAAAAAACAACCCCGTTATTGTAGCTCAAATCAGTCGGTTTACAGGGCAATGAACACGACAGCTTGGAGTACAATCAATGACACGCGCATCCCACCCCTTCGCGCCACTCCTCCCGTTCCATCCCACCCCCACCACCACTGCCGCCCCCCCCCCCCCATCACGCCAAAATAGCTCGAGAGCCGCTTCGCACGCAGAGCAGCGAGCTGCTCGTGCACAAACACAGCAGAAGGTATCTAAAACAGATGACAACACACATTCTTCAATAAACATAAAAGCTGATGGGATGAACTGCGTCCATTTCGTTTTGTGCTGCCCCCCCCCCCGCACCTCAGTTATTCTCCAACAATAGGTTTGACTCTCGCCAACAAGACATTCTACAGTGACCTGCAGTGTGGAGAGTGAGGAGTGACCTACAGCGTGGAGAGTGAGGAGTGACCTGCAGTGTGGAGAGTGAGGAGTGACCTGCAGTGTGCAGAGTGACCTGCAGCGTGGAGAGCGAGAAGTGACCTGCAGCGTGGAGAGTGAGGAGTGACCTGCAGTGTGCAGAGTGAGGAGTGACCTGCAGTGTGGAGAGTGAGGAGTGACCTACAGCGTGGAGAGTGAGGAGTGACCTGCAGTGTGGAGAGTGAGGAGTGACCTGCAGTGTGGAGAGTGAGGAGTGACCTGCAGAGTGGAGAGTGAGGAGTGACCTGCAGTATGGAGAGTGAGGAGTGACCTGCAGTGTGGAGAGTGAGGAGTGACCTGCAGTGTGGAGAGTGAGGAGTGACCTGCAGTGTGCAGAGTGACCTGCAGTGTGGAGAGTGAGGAGTGACCTGCAGTGTGCAGAGTGAGGAGTGACCTGCAGTGTGAAGAGTGAGGAGTGACCTGCAGTGTGGAGAGTGACCTGCAGTGTGGAGAGTGAGGAGTGACCTGCAGTGTGCAGAGTGAGGAGTGACCTGCAGTGTGGAGAGTGAGGAGTGACCTGCAGTGTGCAGAGTGAGGAGTGACCTGCAGTGTGGAGAGTGAGGAGTGACCTGCAGTGTGCAGAGTGAGGAGTGACCTGCAGTGTGGAGAGTGAGGAGTGACCTGCAGTGTGGAGAGTGAGGAGTGACCTGCAGTGTGGAGTGAGGAGTGACCTGCAGTGTGGAGAGTGAGGAGTGACCTGCAGTGTGGAGTGAGGAGTGACCTGCAGTGTGCAGAGTGACCTGCAGTGTGCGGAGTAAGGAGTGACCTGCAGTGTGCAGAGTGAGGAGTGACCTGCAGTGTGCAGAGTGACCTGCAGTGTGCAGAGTGAGGAGTGACCTGCAGTGTGGAGAGTGAGGAGTGACCTGCAGTGTGCAGAGTGAGGAGTGACCTGCAGTGTGCAGAGTGAGGAGTGACCTGCAGTGTACAGAGTGACCTGCAGTGTGGAGAGCGAGAAGTGACCTGCAGTGTGCAGAGTGAGGAGTGACCTGCAGTGTGCGGAGTGAGGAGTGACCTGCAGTGTGCAGAGTGAGGAGTGACCTGCAGTGTGCAGAGTGAGGAGTGACCTGCAGTGTGTGGAGTGAGGAGTGACCTGCAGTGTGGAGAGTGAGGAGTGACCTGCAGTGTGCAGAGTGAGGAGTGACCTGCAGTGTGCAGAGTGACCTGCAGTGTGGAGAGGGAGGAGTGACCTGCAGTGCGGTGTTAGACACTGGATGAGAAGAGAAGGTCACGACCTCCGAGGTCAGGTGCCGAGCACACCAGCTGCTTGATGTGGCAGGAAGGAAAGAAGCGATGGCGACGCGTGGTGGCGTCAGCAGTGGGGAAAAACAACCAACGGCTGCCGGTCGCAGTGGTGACCGTTCCTCTTCATCCTCCTCATCCCGCTGCTGTTGTGACGAGGCCGGGCGGGCTCAGAGTGGCGCAGACTCTCCCTCGTTCCGGGCCGCAGCATCAGGAACCCCTGCGGCACAATCACGCATCATCCTCGCGTCAACCTCGCATCGTCCTCGCATCGTCCCCGCATCGTCCCCGCATCGTCCCCGCATCGTCCCCGCATCGTCCTCGCATCGTCCCCGCATCGTCCCCGCATCGTCCCCACGTCGTGTGTCCTGAAGCCGTTCGCTCGGAACCTCACCACACGACCAATGAGGGTGCAACGGCACGTACTCCGCTTAAAAGGGAACGATATATTTCACCAGGTAAGGCCCACTGAGCTGGAGAGCTCTTATTACGCGCGCTCATTTAACTCACGCTGTCTGTTGTTCTCGTCGTATCCTCAAATTTTAAGCCACTTCCCAATGTGGTATCGACTGCAAACTCGGTGAACTTATGTCATACTGAAGACAATACGATATTCTATCATTAAAAAAATATATATTTTTTTTAAACATTTTTTTACGTTATGTTTCGGCTTGGGTCTAATTGTCCACGCTCAACTGTCTAAATCTAAATCACCAAAGGTCCCTTGCAGTGAGGGAAAAAAGTATTTGATCCCCTGCTGATTTTGTACGTTTGCCCACTGACAAAGAAACGATCAGTCTATAATTTTAATGGTAGGTTTATTTGAACAGTGAGAGACAGAATAACAACAAAAATCCAGAAAAACGCATGTCAAAAATGTTATAAATTGATTTGCATTTTAATGAGGGAAATAAGTATTTGACCCCCTCTCAATCAGAAAGATTTCTGACTCCCAGGTGTCTTTTATACAGGTAACGAGCTGAGATTAGGAGCACACTCTTAAAGGGAGTGCTCCTAATCTCAGCTTGTTACCTGTATAAAAGACACCTGTCCACAGAAGCAATCAATCAGATTCAAAACTCTCCACCATGGCCAAGACCAAAGAGCTCTCCAAGGATGTCAGGGACAAGATTGTAGACCTACACAAGGCTGGAATGGGCTACAAGACCATTGCCAAGCAGCTTGGTGAGAAGGTGACAACAGTTGGTGCGATTATTCGCAAATGGAAGAAACACAAAATAACTGTCAATCTCCCTCGGCCTGGGGCTCCATGCAAGATCACCTCCTGGAGCCGTGGTGTTCTGCCATTACTAGTACGGTACATTTCATTAAAGCGTGTTTAAAAAAGAAGTATTTTAAAATATTACTTATTCAGAAGCGACCTGGCCACAAATGATAGCTCAACGAAGTGCCCTACCATTGTGTGTAGGGGCAGCAGGAGGGAGCTGTGTGTAGGGTGCAGCAGGAGGAGGCTGTGTGTAGGGTGCAGCAGGAGGAGGCTGTGTGTAGGGTGCGGCAGGAGGAGACTGTGTGTAGGGGCAGCAGGAGGGGGCTGTGTGTAGGGTGCGGCAGGAGGAGACTGTGTGCAAGGTGCAGCAGGAGGGGGCTGGGTGCAGCGGGCAGCAGGAGGAGGCTGTGTCAAGGGTGCAGCAGTAAGAGGCTGTGTGCAAGGTGCAGCAGGAGGGGGCTGGGTGCAGCGGGCAGCAGCGTCTCACCGTAGAGTCTGCGATTCACGAGGGAGATGTCGAGGTCTCTGAGCAGTGGCACCCCCCCCTCAGGGGCCTCGCCCTCCTCCTGGGCCCAGGCGTAGGGGTCTTGGGGGGAGGGGAGCGGGAGAGTGGAGGGGGGGGGGGCACAGGGATCGGAGCATTCAACGCCATGGAACGTGGACACCAGAATTGGTTTGTATATAACGTGCTGGGACACGCACGACGGTGCATTACCTGTCGCTGTGTGACACACGTGGTGGGTGTGCGAGGGGGTGACACCGATGGCGACACGTACCCGTCACTGTGTGTATGGAGTCTAGGGGCGCCGTGCTCATGATGTTGAGTCCGTGCAGCACAATCACCAGGAAGCCGACGGACACGATCAGATACAGTGGCACGGCCACCGCCCAGTACCTGATTGCAACACACAAGACAAAGAGTTTCCATGATAGCCTGCACAGACTGTTGGGGCAAGCGCTGTCAGCATCTATGAACCCGGCACGGCACGCGAGGGGGTGGGTGGCCAACACCACGCCCGGCCGCCTTTGTCTGTGCGGTGGCGATGTTCAAACGCCGCACCAGGTACTCGTTTCAGGCTGAGTCGACCTAGGGGAGGAGGTCCATGACCGGTACAGATAATCGTCACTGGTGCTGGCCGTGAGCGGGAATCAAACTCGGGCCGCCGGGTTCTTATCGCAGCGTAGCGCTAACCGCTACACTACCACTCCCCAAGACAAAGATCCCCCGTGTAGCCTTAACAAACTGCTGGGGCAAGTGCTGTTAGCGAGCACCTATGCAGGCCGGCACGGCACACGAGGGGGTGGGTGGCCAGCACCAGGCCCTTGTATACCCCAGGGTACTCATTGGAGGCTGAGTCTACACTGCTGCCCCTCACACACATAGACAGACACACTCGACTACACTCGCACAGAAACAGACCCAAGATCCCCCTTTGCATAGCCTTGGCAGACTGTTAGGGAATGTGCTGGGAGAGAGCACACCTCAAGGATCGAGGTGATGGAGAAGAGGAGGGAGGAGAGAATGGGAGATGATGGGAGGAGAGCAGAAGGGAGCTGGGGAGGAGGAAATGAGAGGAAAGGTGAGAGGTGGGATGAAGGTGGTGGGAGTTTGTGGTGAGAAGAGAGGTGAGGGGGGGGTGTGGGTTGTGAGTGAGGTGAGCGCCACTCACTTCTGGGGGAAGTAGGTGAGCCCTACGGCGTGCAGCCACTCGTCCGGCACCACGGCCCAAACCACGTACACGGCTGTGCGCAGGTCAACACGCACGCACCAAATAACACGCACGCACCAAATAACACGCACGCACCAAATCACACGCACACACCAAGTAACACGCACGCACCAGATAACACGCACGCACCAGATAACACGCACGCACCAAATAACACGCACGCACCAGATAACACGCACGCACCAAATAACACGCACGCACCAAATCACACGCACGCACCAGATAACACGCACGCACCAAATCACACGCACGCACCAAATCACACGCACGCACCAAATCACACGCACGCACCAGATAACACGCACGCACCAGATAACACGCACGCACCAAATAACACGCACACACCAAATCACACGCACGCACCAGATAACACGCACGCACCAGATAACACGCACGCACCAAATAACACGCACGCACCAAATCACACGCACACACCAGATAACACGCACGCACCAGATAACACGCACGCACCAGATAACACGCACGCACCAGATAACACGCACGCACCAGATAACACGCACACACCAAATAACACGCACGCACCAAATAACACGCACACACCAGATAAGACGCACGCACCAGATAAAAGTAAACTATATATTTATTGTATTTTACCAGGCAAGGCCCACTGAAGCGACCTGGCTATCACAAATTATATCTCACAACGAAGTGGCTTATCATCGTCACGTGGAAATGTATCGCAAAGAGCCAAATCCTGTGCGACGTTGATTGCAAATGTGGAGGGGAAAAACTCGGGAGGACCCAGCGGAAAAGTCCACGGGGAGCGAGAGAGACACGCAAACTCCAAATATACAGCAGCAGCAGGTGTCAGGGTCGGGAACGAACCCACGACCTCCTGTATACCAGGCGAGGCAGTTAACATCTCCTAGCCACATAAATAACACGCGCGCGCCACATACATCAAGATGCAGAAAACGCCAACAGGATGCACGCACGTAACACCTGGGCACATTTGAGATGCACATCAGCACGGTGCAATACAGCAACACGCCACACTCAAGTATCATTCAAACAATTAGAATAGAGAAGGATCCCCCGTATAGCCCGAACAGACTGTTGGGGCAAGTGCTTTTAGCGAGCAGCACCTGTGAAGGCAGGTGGCAAGCACCACGCCCGGCCGCCTTTGTCTCCCCAGCGGCGATGTTTACACACCGCACCAGGTACTCATTTGAGGCTGAGTCAACTTGGTGGAGTGCCAGGACCGGTTCAGATAATCGTCACAGGGGTTGTTGGCCGTGAACTCGCACCGACACAACATCTACACACAGCACCTGACACAACAGCTACACACACAGCACCCACACAACAGCTACACACAGCACCCACAACAGCTACACACACAGCATCCACACAACAGCTACACACATAGCACCGACACAACATCTACACACAGCACCCACACAACAGCTACACACAGCACCCACACAACAGCTACACACATAGCACCGACACAACATCTACACACAGCACCCACACAACAGCTACACACAGCACCCACACAACAGCTACACACAGCACCCACACAACAGCTACACACAGCACCCACACAACAGCTACACAGAGCACCCACACAACAGCTACAGACAGCACCCACACAACAGCTACACACAGCACCCACACAACAGCTACACACAGCACCCACACAACAGCTACACACACAGCACCCACACAACAGCTACACACACAGCACCCACACAACAGCTACACACATAGCACCGACACAACATCTACACACAGCACCCACACAACAGCTAGACACAGCACCCACACAACATCTACACACAGCACCCACACAACAGCTACACACAGCACCCACACAACAGCTACACACAGCACCCACACAACAGCTACACACAGCACCCACACAACAGCTACACACAGCACCCACACAACAGATACACACAGCACCCACACAACATCTACACACAGCACCCACACAACAGCTACACACAGCACCCACACAACAGCTACACACAGCACCGACACAATAGCTACACACAGCACCGACACAACAGCTACACACACAGCACCCACACAATAGCTACACACACAGCACTGACACAACATCTACACACAGCACCCACACACCAGCTACACACAGCACCGACACAACAGCTACACACACAGCACCCCACACAACAGCTACACACAGCACCTGACACAACAGCTACACACACAGCACCTCAGGTCGCCACCCAGAGCTCTGTACACACACACACGGAGCGCAGCGAACACAGCAGAAGCGGTCGCCCTGAAGACGGACAACACGGAATGTGAGCAGAGAGTTCGTCTCAAGAGCTTCACGGACCGCACCGAACGCCACGATGGACCCCAGGAAGATGACGAAGCCATGGATCGCTCGCTCGGGCAGCGGCGCAGGCGACTTCTCCGTCCCTGACATGGATGCTGCGAGAGGTCCTTCGGCGGCGGCGGCGGGGGAGGAGGAGGAGGGAGCTCTCCGAGTCCGGCCGCCAACTAGGAAACGCGGGGGGGCTTCGTCTCGGGCCTAGTCGGTCTCGCCGGGTTTCCGGGCTCCTGCGGCGGTCGTTTGCCCGCCTGTGGCCGTGGCTGGTGGCGAGGTGCGGGTCGTGCGTGTGTGGGTCGAGCCCGGGGTGGGGGGGGGGGTGGCGGGCGGGTGTGAGGTCGGCAGCGAGGAGATTCGGGCGGCGCGCGGCGCTCCGAGGACCGCAGCGAGACGGCGGGCGGGCGGTCACAGTGGGCGACGAGACGCGATCTGATTGGACGAGAGGTGGGAGCCAATCCCACTGCGCGGGGATCGAGCGTTGCCCCCTCGCGATTTCTCCGGCGACGAAAGCTATTTCAACTTTTGATATATTTTAAATATTACCAGGTAAGGCCCGCTGAGCTGTATGTAGCGCTTTTTCAGAAGCGACCTGGCAAAACCATAAAGTGATAGCTCAAACGAAGTGGCCTATCATCATGTGTAAATTGATAGCAGCCAAATAACCCTAAACATTAATTCGTTCATCAAACATGGTCAGCGAAAGACTATGCGTGATACGCCAAGCGCGTGACCCCTTGCGACAGTATTTATGTAACCTGTACTCTAAACGCATAATGCTGATTTTATATGTGGAGGGGAAAAACCGGAGGACTTTGAAAAAAAATCCACCCGACCACGGGGAGAGAGAGAGAGAGGCACCGAAAAACTCCAAATATACAGCAGCATGCGTCAGGGTCGGGATCAAATCCACGATCTCCTGTACACCAGCCGAGGTAGTTAACATCACGCCATTATTGTATACGCCGGTTTCCTCGAACGCGTATAAAATCACGTACATTGTTTGAAAATCATCTCTATAAATAAAGACCTAAATCCGTATGTCTCAAAACACTTCTAGGGTGCTTGCCCACAAGGTACAAAGCTGACATTTGGGTACATAAGTAGCTTTTAGGACACGAACCGCAGGGAACATGTGAAAATCCGAGATTTATTTTTATTTTAAGGCCACCAAATCTCGATTTTAAGTGCGCTATAAACATGTTTGTGCGTGGTGTCATTCAGAAACCGTTCACAATATACGATTGCGGGTTTTTTCGTTTGATAGAGCGTTAAGCAGAAAATACAATTCAAGAGATAACCATTTTATTATTGGGTCTTTCGGTAAAGTCACGTAGATAGGTTCAAAGAAAATAACAAAACCTATCTACGTGATTTCGAGTTAAAGCTTTCGTGACTGCAGGGATTCATATTCTTGGTTCTTTCGGTAAAGTCACCGCGTGGAAGGGAAATAATAAAATAATAAAACATAATAAAATAAAATTCTCACGACGTTTCGGCCACAGAACCAAGAAGATCTATTTACGTGACTTTACCAAAAGACCCAAGAATATGAATTCCTGCAGTCGCGAAAGCTTTAAGTCAAGAACCATTCTTCTATCTTTCATTGTTCTTGAGATATTTCAGATTCAAGCGGTTTTGAATTAAAAACAAATTAACATTTCATGATGTTCAAATCGGAACAATTCGAATACGGTAAAATATGAACTTCCCTTCACATAGTATTAAGCTCATTAATGTTTGTTCTTTCTAATAATAAAAAGAACAGCATCTTAAAATCGAGCGGTTTCTGATGGGTACGTCTTTAAACAAGGATTTGAATTAAGTCGTCAACAATTCAAATTCATTTTGCAGAAAAATACAAATTTTTGTAGTGGTTTGATCGTAGATTAAAAAAAAACAAATTGTAACAAAATAATCTTATCAGGTTTATTATCACATGCATTGAAAACTTTTTTTTCATGGCGAAGACAGCCTTTATGAACTAGTCTGAACATGAAGTTTTTTTTATTTTTTAACCTCAATACAGGGACGCGTCTGAAAAGTAAACAGACGTCTCGTTGTGGCATTACCCTGAACAATAAATAAGTCCCGTAAATGTTGACCAAGATGCTTGCTGTTGACAGCGAACGAGATATCAAAGGGGGTCGAAGCCACCAAACACCGACGCTGCTGTCTTGCAGTAGCGATGCGACCTCCAAAGGACTCCCCTCACGGCCTCCCAACCCCATGGCCTCAGGGTCTCCTCTTGCCGGCTCGCTCGCTCTCTCTCTCTCTATCCCTCGCTCGACGCGCTGATCTCCCCCACCCACCCAGTGCTCACTCCGAACTGGTTTCCACCATCCCATCAAAAAGCCCTGCCCGGTTAATGCCTCTGACATCTCCTCTGCTTTATGGACGTCAACTGCCGTAGCGCACAAGGCGGGTCGCTTACTAAAGCCCCGCGTCGGAATGAGGCCCACCGGGACGAACTAATCCCGGGGGCTCATAGAGCCAGACTAAGGCTCACAGAGCATGACTAAGGCTCTATCAGGTTCAAAGTGTTCATCTCAGAGGATCATCGGGACAGACTAAGGCTCACAGAGCATGGCTAAGGCTCCATCAGGTTCAGACTAAGGCTCTCTTAAGATCAGAGCGTTGATCCCTGAGGCTCATAGGGCCAGACTAAAGCTCCATCAGGTTTAGAGCGTTAATCCCCGAGGCTCAAAGTGCCAGACTAAGGCTCCCTCCGGTTCAGAGCGTTCATAGAGCCAGACTAAGGCTCATAGAGCCAGACTAAGGCTCATAGAGCCAGACTAAGGTTAATTCAGGTTCAGAGCGTTAACCCCAGAGGCTCATAGAGCCAGACTAAGGCTCCCTCAGCTTCAGAGCCAGACGAAGGCTCCCTCAGGCTCAGAGTGTTAATCTCCGAGGCTCATAGAGCCAGACTAAGGCTCCTTCAGGCTCATGGTGCTAATCCCAGAGGCTCATAGCCAGACTAAGGCTCCCTCAGGCTCATGGTGTTAATCCCAGAGACTCATAGAGCCAGACTAAAGCTGCCTCAGGTTTCGATTGTTCATCCCATTTGCTCACAGGGCCAGACTAAGGCTCCCTCAGCTTCAGAGCGTTAATCCCTGAGGCTCATAGAGCCAGACTAAGGCTCCCTCGTCATAATCTTCATCGTAGGCTAGTGAACAACGCTTGGGCTAGTGACCAACGTAGAAGTAAGGACAAGGTTGTACATAGAAGAAGACAGACCTGGTGATGCAGCAGGCAGTGATCAAAAGGAAACTGGGCACCGTTTGGATAACACGCACGTAGGGTGAACAACAAAAACAGGAACATGAAAAGAGGCGTTGTTGTCGTCGTTGTTGTTGTTAGGAGAAGTGTAAGGAACAGGCCAGAGAGGAAGATCCTGACAGAGACAATGGCTTGACGACAACATCACCAGAGATTGGTGCCAGAAGGACGTGGCCAATATTTGAGCGTGTCATTTGACACTATCAGGCAGAGAGAAAACGTGGACACAAATGGCGAAATGTGCAGCGGTCAGCAATTACCGGGGGCTACTCTGCCCCCACGGATCGTGATGATGATGACGACGAGGATGCTTAGGCTGCCACTCTCCGTTTTAATAATAAAAATTACAATTACATTAACACAGCCACTCATCTACTTACGAACGAGTTAGCTCCCAGAGGTCTGTTCGTAAGTCGATTTGTTCGTAAATCCAACTTTACTCCTGTCGATTCCAGGCCATGCTGTACGGCGTGTACACGAAACACTGGGAATGGCTTTAAAAGTTGTAGATGTAGATGTCACTGGTTCTTCATGTTTTGTAGATGTAGATGCCACTGGTTCTTCATGTTCTGTAGATGTAGATGCCACTGGTTCTTCATGTTCTGTAGATGTAGATGCCACTGGTTCTTCATGTTCTGTAGATGTAGATGACACTGGTTCTTCGTGTTCTGTAGATGTAGATGACACTGGTTCTTCATGTTCTGTAGATGTAGATGCCACTGGTTCTTCATGTTTTGTAGATGTAGATGCCACTGGGTCTTCATGTTCTGTAGATGTAGATGACACTGGTTCTTCGTGTTCTGTAGATGTAGATGACACTGGTTCTTCACGTTCTGTAGATGTAGATGCCACTGGTTCTTCATGTTTTGTAGATGTAGATGCCACTGGGTCTTCATGTTCTGTAGATGTAGATGCCACTGGTTCTTCATGTTTTGTAGATGTAGATGCCACTGGTTCTTTATGTTCTGTAGATGTAGATGCCACTGGGTCTTCATGTTTTGTAGATGTAGATGCCACTGGTTCTTCATGTTCTGTAGATGTAGATGCCACTGGGTCTTCATGTTCTGTAGATGTAAATGCTACTGGTTCTTCATGTCCTGCAGATGCCACTGTTTCTTCATGTTCTGTAGATGTAGATGCCACTGGGTCTTCATGTTCTGTAGATGTAGATGCCACTGGGTCTTCATGTTCTGTAGATGTAAATGCCACTGGGTCTTCATGTTTTGTAGATGTAGATGCCACTGGGTCTTCATGTTCTGTAGATGTAGATGCCACTGGGTCTTCATGTTCTGTAGATGTAAATGCCACTGGGTCTTCATGTTTTGTAGATGTAGATGCCACTGGGTCTTCATGTTCTGTAGATGTAGATGCCACTGGGTCTTCATGTTTTGTAGATGTAGATGCCACTGGGTCTTCATGTTCTGTAGATGTAGATGCCACTGGGTCTTCATGTTTTGTAGATGTAAATGCCACTGGGTCTTCATGTTCTGTAGATGTAGATGCCACTGGTTCTTCATGTTCTGTAGATGTAGATGCCACTGGGTCTTCATGTTCTGTAGATGTAGATGCCACTGGGTCTTCATGTTCTGTAGATGTAAATGCCACTGGGTCTTCATGTTTTGTAGATGTAGATGCCACTGGGTCTTCATGTTCTGTAGATGTAGATGCCACTGGGTCTTCATGTTCTGTAGATGTAGATGCCACTGGGTCTTCATGTTCTGTAGATGTAAATGCTACTGGTTCTTCATGTCCTGCAGATGCCACTGTTTCTTCATGTTCTGTAGATGTAGATGCCACTGGGTCTTCATGTTCTGTAGATGTAGATGCCACTGGGTCTTCATGTTCTGTAGATGTAAATGCCACTGGGTCTTCATGTTTTGTAGATGTAGATGCCACTGGGTCTTCATGTTCTGTAGATGTAGATGCCAC